ATTTTTCTTCATCGGATTTGGACCAGGTTTGAGCTTCAGTAAGAAGTGGATGATTACAGTCTTTAAATTTCAGGAGCCTTTTAGTGGTAATTTTGTATTGTTTAATTTCAGATTTGTTTGTTAGTCAGTTGGGTATAATGAGTTTTATCTGTTGGATATCTGGTTTTATGCCACTTCGATCTTGTTCTGCGTTTTTCCTTCAATAAAATACGAATGTGCTGTGGCAAGTCAGTCTTTTGTGAATTGTTAAACTTATTGATAAAAGTATTATTATTTATACTGTCTGTTATTGATGCTGTCAGTTTTTCAATGACACCATTAATGTCATCTTTTGTCTTTAGCGGAATTTTTAAGTCTAGTTTGTTTTCCAAATCATCACGAAATTTGTCCCAGTTTACTCGTCCTGTAATCAATTTAGAAGTTGATGGTTTAGGAGCATAGCTCGAATGTAGTGAAAGCAGAACTGGACTATGGTCTGAAGAAAGGTCATCAAGGGATTTGATTATGGTTTGTGCGGAGGAGATCTGGGAAGTTATAAATATATCTAGGGTATCGGGACGTTTTTTGTGGGATGTTGGTCAATAAGTAGGACTCATGGGCGAGAGGATTGAATAACTGTTGGAAGAAGAGACACGTGATAGGATGTTACCGCGGGGGTTGCATGTTCGACAACCCCATCGTTGGTGTTTAGTATTGTAGTCTCTTCCAGCAATGAAGCGGGGATTGGAATAAGGAATCAAGGAGTTTATAGGAGAGGGAATTACCAGGAGGACAGTATACAGCTGAGAATTTTTTGTTACTTAGACTAACAATTTTGTTTGTAAAATACCTTGAAGCAGTCAACTTATATTTGCGTTCGTTGATGACTTAATTGTACCACTTATCATTTTGTCATTTCAAAATGTCTTTTCGTGGTGTTAGATCTTATAAATTATTTAATCTACATTCATGCAGGAATGCATTTATTACAGGATTTATTACCTTTGCTATAAATCTTTTGATGATCCGACTCTCAATTGGCCTGATGACAAGATAAAATGAGCTGACAGAAGTGGAATTGAAATGCTATTTTGGTATTATAATATTATGATGACTTCGTTTATTATTTCCAACAATAAATCTTTATAAATAAAGCATTTAATGAATACGTAGAATATATATATATATATATATATATATATATATATATATATATATATATATATATATATATATATAGCATACATTGCATTAAAAAATATAATAGAAAAATTGATTATTCAAGTTGATTTTATTCTTATTGATATTCTTTAACAATTATGTTACATCTTATATCAACTAAAAATAAAGAATATGAACTATTTTGAAGTCTTAGGTCTCACGTTTCATAGAGAGTACGTTGAATCGAAAAGTCGAATTAAATAAAAGTATTTCACTATCTGTTTTTAACAAATTGATGCATTAAATCATTTTACCCTTTTTAAGTTAAATGAAATAAAGGTTACTTTTTTCCGATGCAATATTCTACTTCAAAATCATTACTAACATGTTTATAATTTAAGAAAAAGAAGAGAAATATGTTGTTTTCCTTTGTTTTTTTCAGAAACAACAGCTGAGAAACATTTCCAAAAAGATTTGTTGGTCATTTAATGATATATGCATTGCTAAAACCTAACATAATTAAAGTAAATTTTTTTTAATTTACAGTATATATATATTCTTACCTCCTAAAATGTTAGCAAAATATGATATAAATTTTCGTGATTTTTCTAAAAGTTATGAAAATATCACATATATCGTTTCTGAAGTAATCGATTAAATGTGTTATACAAATAGAGCAGACTTTTACAAATAATATAAATGATACAATTTTCACTAAAATAACTATAAATAAAATATAGATACATGGTATAGCAGTTAGAACCTTCTCATACAGATTACTTTAAAAAGTTGTCTGTTGTTTGAACTACGTCACATTGCTAGTTTCTTCATTTTTCATCTGATGCCACTAAAATTCATTCTGGATATAGAAAACTGTTGTAAGTGGTATCTGAGTGAAAACTCAATTGCCAAATTTTGTTAGTTAGAACCTTTTCAAACCAAGGTCTGTTATAGCCAAAAATTTAAATTGTCACTAAGAAAATATTATATTTTTTTTTCTTTTGGCATTTCATATCTAATAAATTACTTTCGACCTCAACCAGCCTTCTCTAACGCTACTAATTTTAATCAATTTATTTTCAGTTATCTGTACGCATCTTGGTCGATTTGATCTATCCATTTGGATTTTGGCCTTCCACATATTCTCTTGCATGGTTTTGAAGAACTTTTTAGCTTTTTAGCGGTTATAGTGTTAAATTTTGAATTAAGAGAAAATACAGAGCGGTAATAAATTATTTAATATATGGCTTAATTGAAAAACAAAAATCCTTTCCTAAAATTAAGTCCAAAAATTTATATATTTTTTTTATTTCAAAACAAATTCGTATTTAACAGTTTTAAAAATCACACTAAAAATACATCTACATGGTTTTTCATGACAAAAATTTCCTTTTTTAAAAAGTTATTATTTTTAAAATTTACTTTGCTGAAAAAGTATTTTGGCTTTTATAATTTATTATGCATGGGCAACTTCCTAGCCTTAAAAAATAAAAGTACCAAACTCCTAAAAAAAAAAGAAAAAAAAAAGAAAGTATCTTAAAACTAAAATAATAGAAATTGAAACTAACAGAATCGAAAATAATGTGAGAGACATGTATAAAAAAATCGCGTTAATGTTTATGACCCATAAAAAATGGAATAAGGTATGAAAATAACAATATCCTGACCAATCCGGTAGACATCTTAAGTAGGTTTAAGAAACAATTTAGCAATATTTTAAATTTCAAAATTAATTATCTGCGTCCATCCTCTGAGTACCTGGCTGCTAAGCCTTGAATAGAAAAACCGAGTAAAGCAGAAGTTGAGGAAGATATAAAAATATTAAAATCTTATTTATAAGATTAGCAGCGGGAACCGATAGTATTCATAGTGAACGAATTAAGGCATACGGGAAAGCTGAATTTTTTAAAATACATTAGTTGGAAAAAAAGATCTGGGAGAATTAGAAATTGCCAGAAGAATGGAAAGAATCTATTCTTATTCCGATTCACCAAAAAGGCCCGAGGACGAATTGTAATAGACTATCGTGGAATCTCACTCCTTCCGGTATGTTATAAAATATTTACAGTAGTTTTAAATAGTTGAATCACAGAATAAGCCGAGAAAATTATCTGAGATTACCAATGCAGATTTAGAAAGAACTGTTCGACTATAAATGAAATATTTTCTTTACGGTAAATATTGGAGAAAAAATCGAGTACAGTGTTGTCGCTTACCAACTGTGTACAGATTTCAAAAAGGCTTACGATTATATTGACCGCGAGAAGGATTATACTATTTTAACTAAGCAGGAGATCAAAAAATAAAAATAAAATAAAAATAAATCCAGTTAGAATCTTCTTGACGAAAACATTCAATGAAGTTAGGATCGGTTATTATTTATCTGAAATGTTTGAGCTTCGTTGGGGTTTTAAACAAGATGAGAACCTTTCATCTGTCCTGTTGAATTTAGCATTAGAACAAGATTTTAGGGAGGTAATGCGTACCGAAAAAGGGGTTCAATCTGTATGTAACACCCGTGCTTGGCTAAGCTAAAGATTTGTTCCTACTAAGCAAAGACAGGGAAACTATAAAACTAAATACAAAGATGTTAATAAAATCCGGTAAAGAGCTAGTTCCCGATATAAACCGAATAAGACAAAATATATGGTTGGCTGCCAAAACCGTGACAATTTCGGTGATATCGATATAGAAGGGAATATGTTTGAACGCGTAGAGAAGTTTAAGTATCTTGAGTCTACGATAACTATAAAAAAAAAAAAAACGGAATTGAGGACGAAATTAAATTTAGGTTGAAAGCGGGAAATGGTTTTTATTTTTCTATGACAAAACTACTTAGCTCCGGCTGCTGTAGAAAAGTTAAATATTAGAATTTACAAAACCATTATGTTACATACATCTTTATGGATGCGGAACGTGCCCACTTACGTTATGAGATGAGCAACGTCATAATGTTTTTTTAAAATAAAGTATTGCGTACAATATTGGAACTGAAGAAGGATGAATCAATTGGAGAGTTTAGGCGGTTACATAACGCCGAATTTCGTGAACTCTAAAAGTCCGAGAAGCCTAAAGGCTGATCTGGTGGGTCGACTGATGGAGAGAGGTGTGTGAAAAACGATCGGCTGAGTTGGGATCGAACGTTCGGGTTCGTTAAGCGTTTTTTTTTTATTATACATAAGAATTCGTTAAATACAAATAAGAATATGCCACCCTCCCAAACAAAAATCTATTAATATAAAATAATTTAGAAATCCGGGTAAACCAGTCGTAAAACAGAAGGGAGAACTACAATAATATTTGCGCAGCTGCTCAACTCTGATGATTTGCTAAATCGCACAGCATACTCTTCAGTCAACAGATATTATTTAAAACAATAATAAAATATTGTTCTCTCCTAGGGCACATTGGCAAGAAGCCCCGAACATGGCTCCAATATTTTTGGAGTTACTATCGCGAAAAAAGTTTCATTGAAATCGTCGACACTACGTGCGTAACCTTTCCGTAAGTAAAATATGCTCTGTACCAACCTACTATCGTTTTGTTGCTCAGAAATGATTAAAACGACATTTTAATTGAATATGGCTGTTCAGATATGGAGACATTTCATTTCAATTTACTTATTTTTGGTTAAAATTAACTTTCGTAAATGATTCAGTCGTTACTTTAATTTTAGATATGAAAGGCATCGATTTGAAAGTGAAATATAAAGTAAAGTCTATAATAATTCTTCATCGTGGTCAGAGTGTGCTCTTTATTTCATTCGTCAAGTGAAAACCAACGTGACCTAAGCTTATTATAATCGAGAAAAAAAAAAAAAAAATCAAATATAAAATTTTCAAATAGCAATGATATCTTACATTAGGTTTTCTTTTGATGGTTTCATTATTTTATGCCACTTCTTTGATGCGTTATTCGGAAAGTTCTTGAATTGAAAACGATAGTAAATATTCCAATAATCATATGTTATGATAAAATAACTATCGTGTTATAGTTATTTTGTTTACTGACAGATGCAATGTTGTTAAATAAATTCTTCAAAAAAAGTATCATCCTAACATTTGTCTCTTAAGTGGAATTTGTAGGATTAGTCAAGCAAAAGGTACTTAATAATTAAAATATTATTCTATAATAACTGGAGATCACTGTAGATTTAATTTGTTTCACGATTGATTTCCATTGGTTCATTCCAAACGGATTATTAACTGAATTTGTTGTTCTGGTATGGATATATATATTCATATTTTCGTCAATTCATTTAAAGAAAAAAACGAACTCGTATTATCCAGTGGATAAAAAGAAATAAAATTCTTACTTAAATTGACTTTTATTTATTTGCTATGAAAAAAAAAAATGTACTTTACAATCTGAAGATGGTCATGGGTTCAGTACTTTGTAAGAAAGTACTATTTGAAGACCAACAGGTTATGGAGAGTGGTGATCGAGCCTATATCTCGCTCAACCATTAGGTTTTCTCCTTAATTAATTATTTAATAGAGAGTACCCATTTTATAAAGTCTAGGTGTGCCCCAGGAGGGTCTTCTGACCCCAGAATCGATCCATGGCGAGATAAAACGGAATAAATAATAACCTGTCATCAGCCGGATTCGAACTTGGCTTTAATGGTTATTATTCTTGCAAATATATCCTAAATGTCGGTGAAAAAGCTTGATCGTTTGTAGGTATGTAACGATTTTTCGTGCGAAGAACTCACCCGATTGTTTGATGGTTCAAATTATTGAGTGTGTTTCGGCAAATGTTTTAAAACAATTCAAGCTGAAATTACTTACAATAAATTTTCTGAATAAATACCGGAGATAAACATTGGAAATAAATGAAATATGAGCTGGCGGATAATTCTCACAAGAGAAGAGCGACTAATGAAATGGACATCAGATGGGACATCGACGGAACCTGAATGGGACAGATCGGCATTAATCAATATAGAGTGTACCCTTGGGAATTGCTGTGGACGAGGAGGTAGACCACCAGAGCTCGATGTGGAGGGGTCTAATCGTCCGGGTGCAGGTCAGCGTCACTGCCAGGGGTTGTGGGGTTTGGCAAGTTATCTGGAAGGGCAATTAATTTAATTTGGGGCTCGTTTGAAATGTTTGATAATTACTTTGTAACATTGGTAATTACTCTTGAGGTCGTGATGGCCGAGTGTGTTGGAGCTTTTTCCGTTCTCCGGTTCGAATCAGGCCTGAGAGGGTTTGACTTTTATTTCGTGGCGGACCCACGGAATTAAACTCGACCTTCCCACTCTGGTTAGAATAGTTTTGGTTGTATCTCTACTTCCTCCGTATGCCAAAAATGGTGAGTAGGGGGTGAACCAATAAATAAAAAAATAGTTGTTCTTACTTTATCTTAAGCCTTGTCAGCAACCTATGCATATTTAGCAAACCACAACTAGTATATGTAGTCAATAGTTTTGGAAAAGTCATAGATCCTCTATGCCCCACTTGTGGAGTACCGTGAGCACGCCATCGTCAACTGTACCGTCTTTGATGAACTAGGGGCCGGATTTATGAAAAAAATTTAAGTCTATGGCCTCACGGAGGATCAATTTCCTCAGTTAATGACGGAGCAGTACTACCCTTTTTACAAATACTTTGTTTACGGGTTGAAAGCTGCTCTGGGGCCCTCCCACTTTAATCTGGGAAGAAGAGGACCTGCTAATGGAGGGCCGCCAGATTAATATGGTGAAAATAAAATAATAAAAAAAAACAAGGGCTTTGAAAAAAAAAAATTGATAACGAATTTGTGGTCTAATAGCAGGAATGGCATGCACGTGTGTGATATGCCATCTCTGCAAAATACCGTGTAGCCGAAAGGCAAGGAAGGGAAGATAAATAGTATATGTAGTCAATTATCATTTATTTGCCAACAAAAACGTTTGTTAATTTTTTTTTAAATATTTGTTTTCTACTCACTCCAGTCAGAGGTACTGACGATTAGAAAGTCTACTGTTGGGAATATACTAATAGTGGATTGATCGGCGTAAGGGAAAGGAGTGCCCAACGGCAACCCTTCTTGGCTTGAATTCGCTGTATTTTTAGGTGAGGAAATCTTTTCGTGGGGAGAGGTGGCCGAATGGGCTAATGCGTGTGTACAGCACCGCGAGTTGCCCGGACACCAGCTGACCTGAATTTGAGATTAAAAGAAGTACGAGTTCGTGTCCTGGTGCCAGAGGGGATTTTAAATTCCTCGCCCTCACCTTCCGGCTACGGAAATCCCGTATAGCAGCCTAAAAGGCGAGGAAGGGAAGAACAGAAAAAAAATAAAGGATTAGGGAATTTCTCATTCAGCTTCTTTTGAGCCTCCAAAGCGTTTTTTCGTGCATAATCGAGGCCATTTCTTGTATCAGTGTGTTAATTTGTCCATGTAAGTTATTGTGAAGTTTGTTGTGGTGTGTCCATATGTGATCGTTAACTGTTGGCATGTTTAGATCTTTATATAAAGAAATGTTTGTAACGTACCATGGACCTTTAAGTATACTCATAAAAGTTTTAGACTGAAAGGATTGTAATTTCCGTATGTGGATCGTTTGACTGTTTCGTATATTTGAAAAGCGTAGGTCCATTTAGGCTTTAGTAGATAAATGTAGGTGTTCAGTTTCTGTTTTAATTTTAATTCTGAGCGTCTTGAAAGGAGTGAGTATATTAGTTGTTGTCTGAGGTTTAGCGTTTTTCTTTTTTTGTTGGTATGTGGGTCCCATATCATTCTTCTGTCGAATATCAGTATTGTATTTGATCTGTTTGTGGAATTTTTCACTGAATTTAGTTATCTTTTTTCAATTAATTATAAACATTTTTTAACTAAAATTACCACCTTATTGTAAGTCCTCTTACATTTTAACCATCAATGATAGCGAACGATCTAATGATTAGTACTCTCAGCCACCTAACTTGTCAATTTCCAGTGTCTGTATGCTTGATACCCAGAAACGAATAAGCACCTCACCTTGAGCCGCTGTAAAGCAATCCAGTCTCTTCAGTTTGGTCTTAACTCTATTTAATGTAATTCGGATTCGGCCCTAACGCCTTTGCGCAATTGCGACAAATGTCTTTCTATAGACTGTAGTGGAACTTGTATCTGTAGACTGTAGATGTAATTTTCAGGCATTATTTCTCTTAAAGCTCTTATATTTATCATATTAATCATATATATCCCAGAGAGAAATCAGAAAAGAATGTCTTTTATAATTCAGTTTGTTTTAATTTTTTCAATCATATTAGTATTGCATCTTGATCCGTAACTAGTTTTATTTTTTATTTTCATCTCATATATCGATTTACATTGCGGGAATATTACCAAATTTCACGGTCTTTCGAAATACAGTTTTATTTGATCTAGTAAAAAATACTTAAAATAACTCCAAACATTTTTTTTTCTTATTATAGGTTTCTCAGATGATTAAGAAGCCTCTGATGATGTGTACGTGAAAATGAATTTCCCGTATGGAGGTAACAACCATGGTTGTATATGTAAATCTCATTTCTTACTACTGGTGTCTTTCATCAACCAGAATTCTTCCATTTAATTCCAGCCGTTTTGTCAGAAATTTGCTTGACACTCAATTTAATAATTCAAAATTGGTTTAGTGTTACTTATAGAAATATTTGCGCCTTGAGTAATCAAATAGGTCTTTGACACGTGCTCTGAGGTTTTCAGCTGGAATCAATTCTCTATTGTGAGCGCTGGGAGACGGCCTGCTTCCTCATATTAATTGGCCCTCTTGCCTAAGTTCCTAGAAACGTTGATGTTTCCTCCTTGTTCTGCTATAGATATCCATTCGAATTGTCTCATTAGTAATTCCTATTTCAATATTTATTCTTATTATAACCTCCATCTCAAGGCTGTTTCAGATTTAACGCTTATAATATGATTCATTCATGAAGTCAGTTTTAACTAAATGCTCCCTTTTCAACACCGAAAATTTCTATACAATACTAAGCAATCCTTTATATTTTTTTTTTTTATACTTTCTTTCTCAGCATTTTCAAAATTTAGGCATGAAGCTATAAGGGAGAAAGGGATGTCAAGAAAATACTAATGATAACCAATTCCATATTTATTACTTATATTAGTTTCGAATGCATACAATAGCATCATTATTTCCTCTGGGCTACGAACATTTTTTTTTTTTTTATGTTGCCTAACATTTGATAACTGATTTCAGCTATACTTGGAGTAAGGAATCTAAAACTGAATTAAAATGTTAATGATAATCAGAGTTCTGCGCATGCGTTAACCCTACACATACACTCTTTATTTCAACTCTTATAAAGTGACTTTATTATCAGTGAAATAATTCATGTTATTTGTGAAAAAGTAGTGTGAACTGTTAAGTTAACAATTAAGTTGAAACTGGACATAAGTAAGGTGAGTAATCACTTATTTATAACGGCATTGTGAACAATGTAAATAGACCTGAGGATAGTGATAGATAACAAGCCGGCCATATACATTCGCTAATCCGACCAGTGGGCTGCTGCCCTTCGGCGGAAGCACATCTACGTTTCTCAGAATTCCACAAATTCGCGTAATATATACGTAATTGATAAAAGACTTTTTTTTTACAAACTATTACATTTACCTCTAATTAATTAACATGAGATGCGATATTTTCACATGGTAATGTCGAGTAAAGGTAGCAATCGAACTTTAAGATCTAGGAGTCTAGATACCACAAAGAGTTCACCAATCAAGAAAAGGGCTAGACGCTCTAAAAAAAAATACCCCACCAGCTACACCAGAGAGCTCAGTTGACGAAGTCGAAAATCAACCTGGCACATCATCACAAAATATGTCAACACAAGCTATATCAAAACAAGGTACGTTAGAAGAATCGCCCTTTTTTACAGCTAATCCATTCCAAGTGTTGTCAAACACACAGAATGAACAAATGGAAGCAGTACCCATCCCTAGTGAACCTAAACCCCCACCAATATTCGTTAGAAACATTAAAAATTTTC